CTGCGGAATAGGTGTCATTTTCATCCATTAGTTTCTGCAGTCTTTTAAAAAATATAGATAGTGCCTTCAGGGACCATAGAGCAACATTTAGGAAAATCTACATTTAGGTGTGTTCATAATCATATTCTTGTAGTAGGAACAAGAATAGCCTATTAATTTGAAGTCTGTGGGATTTCACTTGTATTCAATTTATCTCACACTTATTCTTTTCAGACCCAGGAGTAACAGTTTTTCAGCATTATCTCATCCACTTACATTTAAACCTAAATAGCATATAAAATAAGGAGAACAAAATGTCCTTTTTTACAAGTCTGAAAAAAGACTGAATAAAGCTAAAAATCCATTTGTATAGTGCTTCATGTCATGATTGGAATCATGTAGACAGGTTTAAATACAGGTTTATGGGTTTTCATGATAGAGAAATTCAAAATATCCAGGCTTTGGTCAATGTCTTTTTTTTCTGTAGCCACGGCTGAAGGGCACAAGCTAGTAATTAATATACATCTTACTGAATTCAATACAGTAGTCATTTTAATATATGGCACTCTGTTCCTCTTTTTTTGCAGCGCATTTCCAAAGTTCTAGAAGATGGAAAGCAGTCTGTGGAGCACCATTTCAAATCTTCATCTACAGATCTGTGATTCATTCCATTACAAGACTGCCTCTCAACCAAAGATTGTTATATATACATACATATCCTATTTTAGAGCATCAGAAAGGCACTGATAACATAGGTGGCTAATAGAGAATATGAACAACAGTACTCATGGCCTCTGATAAGTTACTTGCAATGTAGGAATAACAGTTGAGGAAATACTACAGGATATGCCCACCAGGGTATGGAACAGATGTTTACTGAGCCTCTGGTTCTGCAGGTCAAAGGGCATTGTGCGTTCCCTGGTGACAAAACTTGCTCCTGGGAAGAGAGCTGTATTAAAAGGCCATCTGCAATGCTTACTATATAATGTAAGTTGGGTCCTGCTCTTTTCAAAGAGCACAAAATTTATCATTTTGTGTAGCTTGCATAGACACACTGCAGCTAGCTTTAAACTATTGCTGGCAGCGTAGTCAAGGCAACAGATGGCTCAGCACAAAATAGCCACTGACAATTTACTCTGTGGCTGCAGTTGGATTTACAGTCTGCAGATCCCTCTGCTGCTCCCACCACACTGCTCTGTATCCTCAGTCTTTCTCAGGGTGTTGTCCATGACTGTGACACCATATGCCTGAGTTATTTTCAGAACAGCAGCTCTTATGTTGACAACATGTGCAAAAGTTTATTTACACATGTACAAATTGACATTACATCCAGCAGTATGATAAACAAAAGCTGCGTTTCTGCTGTTTGTCAATAAAATGTTAAAAATGTATTTTATTTGCCTTGAATCTTTCTCCCTGAAATCTCAAGATGTCATCGTATATAAGGTAATAGTTTCTTACTGACAGCAAATGGAATTGTAGAAGTCCAAGTCTTCTGCTTTCAAAACTGATTTTCTGTGTCTCTCCAACTCATGAGGTAGAGTTGGGAGATAACGCCTTATCGGCATAAAGCTAGACAGCACTGCAGGTCAGCATCTCAGCATTTGTTTTTTTTATAACCTGTCAGTTCTTTCTGATGGCAAGTATGTTATCCAAACATAAAGGTTTCTAAAAGGCAAATAATTGATTTCCTTCACTGATCCCTTTATGTTTCAGACACCTACATAGGTTTATATTCATTAAATAAAATATGACCATGTATAGTGTTGTGGATGGGAGAGACTGGCCTTGTTGCCATTTATATGTATATGGGAAAGACAAAGAGGTTAAAATGATTCCTTGTTGAGTGGTTGAATCAATGGAAAGACACCTTCAGTTTGTTCTATGCCTAACTATTTCTATAAATGCTTTTACATTCAGTATGAATAATTTATTTAATGAATTTAGACTCTTTGCAAGTTGTCAGTGTGAAGCTGTTTTCTACAGAAAACTGTGAGACATTTGAAATATTTGCCAGTGGAACTAATACTATGCCAAGAAATACTTTTCACTAGAATCACCATAGACAGCAAAACAAAACAGTTTTAACACTAACCATAGTGTTTGTTGGCATGGGTACTGATAGACTTTGTGTTTCATTTGCTTTTGACAGCAACTTGATAGTGCTTCTGAGGAAGCACGGAGGAAGAACAAGGCTCTTCTAGAAGAAAGTTCTAGTTTAATAGAGTAGGTTATCTGTGAGTAGGAGAAAGTGAAATGCTGAGGGGTGCATGTTTAACATCTTGCTAACCTGGAGGGAGAAGAGGGAGGGTACCCAAGTTGTCCTTCAATATTATTTGCAGATACAGTGAAGAAATATTGGTGTCACAAAATTAAAAGTATTTTTTAAAAAAAGGTTTGGTTCTACTGGGAGTGAGTAAGAAAAGGATGATTTAGCAACTGTTTATTCTTTGTAAAGATACCTGTTAAAGTTATTTTTTGCTTATTGTATCTTGCAGCTATGTTTTCATGTCAGAGTGGAATAAAAGAGTTTTAGCTTAAGCTGTTGTTATAAATTAAACTACCGTGATTCAAAGTACTGTGATTCAAAATAAAAAAGTACAAATAATGGAATGGAAAGAACCCGGAAACAAATATCAGGAAGGCAGGAGCACAATGTCCAAACGAAGACTGGTGTTTAGTGTTTAGCTAGTTGTTCAAGATTCATGTTTGTGTTTTGCTCAGGTTTTAGTATAATTTTTGATTAAGAGTTTAGATTTACACTTAATTTACCAAATATCAGCAAGAATCTTATTAGTTGTCCCACATCACAGGTTGTCCTTTTCTTGCCAGCCCAGTTTTGGATCTGTTTCAAGCCTGAAATCATGTAAATCAACTCTGAGCAGAAAAGTAAAATTAACTAAGAAAAAATAAGTGCGAAGAACAGGGCATACATGAAACTCGAATTTTAAGGATGTTTGAACAACAAGCTCCAGCCATTCACAAGTTTCCAGAAACTGTGCATGCTCATATTTAGTCCAAATAAACAACACAGCATGAAGAACAAGTGATGCCCTGGGATAATGAAATGCAAGTATGGCAATCTGGCAACATCTGTTAAAAAATATAGATCAGCACTGATTACTGTAATTTCTGTCACAAGCTAAACAGGCCCTTAGTTTCACGTATGTAGAGGAAGATCTACTCAGGCAGCACAGAACCTGTGTATTTGACATTCTTTGGGGTGAAGCACAGAGGGGAGAAATTTACTTCAGCATAGGGTCAGGCTTTGGCTGCTGTCCCAGGGAATTAGTGAAGCAGGGGTAGCTTCACCTGTGCTCTGTATAGCCCTACCACCTCTCACCACGCAAGGTCAGAAAAGCAGTTCTGGACAAAAGAATGTTTTCATGTGCTTTCTGCATCAGAGTTTATTTCACTTCTCTCATGTACTTTCAAATAGTCTGAACAGTAACAGCCTGGCTTTCTGGATTGCATAGCACTAAGATAACGACTGGGTAGTGTGAGTCTGTCATAAATAATTTGTTTAGCATGGGGTAGGAAAGACTGCACATGTAGCTAAGATTTTATGTGCTAGCCTGTAGAAAGCTGTTACACTGCAACAACGTAAGGTGCATTTAAGCTGCATGCCATATATGTTCAGTTAGCTAGATGTATGAATTTTAGACACAGGAACCTGGGCTTTCTCTCTCATGGAGTGCAACCCTGTGTTAGTAATGGTGGTCTAGCTCCAGAAGAGCCGCTGTGTCAATGCACAGTAAGGTCTGGTCATAGACAGCAAGTGTAGCATTCTGTTACATCAAGTTATTTTGGAGTATTCTTTAACGAACTTGGGTATCCAGCCTGCCCTTCTTTGTGCCATGTAGTGATACTGTCCAAGTCCTCATTATGAAATTATTACTTAATTATTCATTTGGGGGGGAATTTAATGCTTTTAAAATTTCTGTAAAAATTAGCTGGTGTGAGCTATAGGAAGGTGTTCAGAGTATAAGTCAATAAGGATCAAGTTTCTGAGCAGGAAGGAGAATTTTATTGAAGATTTCACAGACTTTAGGAATGCATTGTGTTCTTTAGCTGAGAATTAATGTGTGATAGACCTGGGTATTTGTTGCAAGTACTGCTTGACATTGAACTTTTTATCTCTATCACATGTAGCCTGTAATCTTTTTTATTAGACAACGGAAATTATGAATAGAATCATAGAATGGTGTGGGTTGGAAAAGATCTTAAGGATCATCTAGGTCCAACTCCCAAGGTGGGTAAGGGGTGCCATATTGGTTATTCTGTATGGAGCCCACAGACACATTAGGCATCACTGGATCTCTGTTTTCATTTTCCTTTGTGATAATGTTTGGTCTGGCTTTTGGCTTTTTCTGTAGTTCTCAGATTTGTTTCAAGTCCCTGACCTTTCTTTAAAGACGCATTAAGGCAGGATTCTCACACTCTGTCTTGGGACACCAGAGTTTTGTATGGGAGAGAAAAAGGATTGGATTTCTTCATAATTTCAGAAGTGCAGAATTTTAAATTAACAATTTTCTCCTTTTCTAGCCTGTTCGAGGTTGGTAGAAGGTCACAAGAAACAAGTTAAATTAATTCAGAGCAATATGTTAAACTAAAGGCAGTACAGCACAGTGTAAGTAGATTTTCCTGTATGTGTTAGTTGAATGGTAGCCTTAGTAGTGTAGAAGACTCGGAGAGTCTGGAATATGTCCAATTTCATCACGTTTAAGTTGAAGGAACCTTGTGCTATCCTGGTCTCTGAAGAACAGAACTCATGTAATCAACATGGTAGACTGTTCTGCTTTCCATATGAGATTTGAGATGCAGAGGCAGTTTGCTCCCACGATTACGAATACAAGGAAGCTGTAATGGAATATCAGTGGAAGATTTTCCTCAATTTGGAGGGCATTGATTAAGCAGAGTGGTGATGAGGAGTTTTTAGCACCAACTACTGTATTGTACTCAGTGTTTTCAGGCAGCAGCCGTTTTACTGTAAAAACTGGGTGAAGAGCTGTTCCTAACCTGAACTGGCAAAAAAGCAATAAACCTGTGCCAAGCACTTTTTCACAGCTCTTGGAAAAGCAGGTAATGGGTAGACAGATTAATGCTTTTGTGTAACATTCCTAAAGTTACTGAAATTTCAACAACAATGGATTTAGAGATTGAGTTGCTCTCTTTAACCATTTGATATTCACAGCTTTTGTTGTTTGGCTATTTTGCTGCTTGCTTCATTGCCAGTAGCAATGATGGAGCAGACTCTTTCATTCAAAATGAGTTGAAGGTATGTGCAAGGAATCCTGCAAGAAAAAAATCTGGAATGATGATGGGAAACTGCTGAGAAGGTGAAGTGGACTTAGATGATTTCACTTGATCAGTTTGAATATGAAGTCTCTTAGCAATTCAACAGCTGATGGCTGATAAATCACACAGGACAATCTATACCCAGCATCATAATGAGATTTTACATTGATTGCACTAATGAGCATAAATTTCTGCTTTGAACTAGGATAAATCCATAATATTTTATTGTACTTACAACTCTACAGATTCTGAATCAAAGCTGCTCACTAATGTCACAGTATTGGAGCAGCTGTATCGTGTCTGGCTGCTGATCAAGGAATTTTTATTTCAGCCCCAGTAAGAGCAATGGAAGCATCTTTGAAAC